GTTTTCCTTGTTTTGTTTTGCCTTGCCTGTTTTGCGGTTTCTGATCTTTGCCTGTTTTCTTGGATTTCTCCCTCTCATCCTGCCCCTGTGATTCTGTCTGCTGATCGGTGACCTACGCTAGCCCTGGGACTATTCTTGTGTTTTGCCCGCCATATACCTGTTTGCCAGTGTTTTGACCCTGCCTGTTTACCACGTCTCTTAAATAAAGCCTGCAGATGGATCCACATGTCTCACGTCTTGTCAGCCCCGTTACAGAGCCATTATGATCTATCATCATGAATGACCTACGGAGTGCAGCAGAGGAGCTCTGATACAAACAATTGACTTCGCCAGACTTATTACGACTGTTTGCAGAAAAAGCCCAATGATCTGTAAGTCAAATAAACATGAGCAGCGCGGCGCGCATATGCAGAGTTTAATTCAGTAATATTACACGAGCAAGAGCAGCTCTTATACTGAATATTAGAGGATCTAGTATGAGGGGCCGTACAAGCCATAATTCATTTTGGCACTCTCACACACTTACATTATCCTTTCACATACATACATTCTGCTTTCACACACTTACATTCTCCTTACACATACATAAATTTCTGCTTGTATGTAGTAGATCTACGTCAGCCCTATTTCAGGTACTCAAAGTTATGTTGTCTGTTCAGTAACTTTCAAGACTAAATACCTATTACCTCTGGGTTTGAAATATAATCCTCAACCACATGGGTGTGGTGCTCAGCTGTCAACATACTGGCTTACATTGGTCATGTATTGTAATGTTTTTAGAGGTGACAGGTCTTTCTTACAAGATTTACAAGCTGCTCTCACAATGAGGTAATCCTCGTCTTTATTGCTGACAGTGAAAACACACATTAGATACCTTGACCTTTAATTTTTTTTTTGTAAGTTACTGTTGGTAGAAAAGAACAGACGACATAACTTTGAGTACCTGAAACAGGGCTGAGGCGGAGTTAAGTCGGAATCAAATAGTACGGTTAGCTTAAAGGGTTAGTTCACCCAAAAATGAAAATGAACCCATACATCATCCTAGGTGTATATGACTTCTTTCAGACGAATCCAGTCGGAGTTATATTTAAAATGGTCTTTGATCTTTCAAGCTTGACCTCATACCTCATCAGCCCAGAGCTGCTTCTGTGTACAACTGTTGGCGCAAGCTACATTAAAGTGATTATTACGTTTTGAATATGGATATTTTTCTTACAAAACACATCGATTCACTACAGAAGGCCTTTGTTCACCCCCCGGAGACACTTTTTTTAATGGATGGGCGCTTTTTATTTAACTTACTTTGGACTGATGCATGCAACACCCGCTGAGTGGCATTAAACAGCTTGAAAGATCAAAGAAAAATTTTAATAACTCCGACTGGATTCATCTGAAAGAAGAAAGTCATATACTTGGATGACTTGAGGGTGAGTAATTTATGGACTAATTTTCATTTTTGGGTGAACTAACCCTTTAATGTGAGCTAATATTTACTTTATTCATCTGTTAAATGTCAGTTAAAATATAACCCGCCATGAAGTAACTCAGGCAGTTTAAAACATCTTCAAGCTCATATTTTTGTTAAAGGTAGAATTATTTAGTTAAAAAAATAATAATATTATGTTAACTGTAAAGTTTATATTATCCTTATGAGTCGTTACTACTTTTCAAGGTGGATGAACTTTTGGTTATAGAAATGTTGTGGGAGTTTCCACATATGGTTTATATGACCCATGAGATGAAGGACATTTAACTTACCAGAGGCTTTTCAGAAATTGATTATATCATGCTAGTTAACACTTACAGGCTATTACAGTGCACAGCATAAATGAGTACACCCCCTCTGAATAAATATAAAAGATGTATTTTCTTTATGATCACTATTATAATTCATGGAAAGATGGCAAAATTGAAACATAGTAAACATATACTTAATAAAAACAACAAAATATATGCCAATATTTTCTGTAAGATAATTAAATTAGCCAATTTTGTTTAAATGAAGGATTGCAGAAATGAGTACATCCTAGATTTACTTCAGAAAATGTATAATATTCTAGTACTTAGTATGTCCTCCAGAACTTAAAGTACACTGCTCTGACCCTTCTTGGCACTGAGTGTACAAGTTCATGACAAATTTTCACATCTGTGCTGTTTAACTCCTGGAGGACGACCTCCTTAAATGCCCTGGTCTTTAATGGGGAGTTTTGTTCAGCTCGTCTCTACAGAATCCCCCACAGCATCTCAAGAGTGTTAAGATTGAGTGAAATGTCCACTGAAGGATTTTCACCTCAGGAGAATGGATATATTCATTGTCATGCTGAAAAAATGCCCAATAATGCAGGGAATGAGTGGAGGGTTTTTTTTCAAGTTTTTGTATTAAATCACACAGTGGTGTGTGAATTCATGCCAGCATTGATAAAGCACAACTCCCTCACACCTTCAGCACACATACATCCCTATAGAAGAGCTTTACTACCACTGAATGCCACTGTGGGAACCAGGCACTTCTCTCTGTACTCCTCCTCTAGCAACACCAGAACATGTTGGATGCTTTTGGATCCGAAATGATTGACTTGGTCTCTTGAGACCAGAGAATGGATTCCCAGAAGTCTCTATTTTGTCAATATGGGCCTTGGAAGAGGTTAAATGAGTTTATTTTGCTTTGGCTACAGTAGGTAATTCTAGTGGTGACAACAACCATGCATGTCACTTCTGCAGGCTGCATCATACTCTGTGAGATAAAGTGTCACTCTTTTCACAGCTTTTGCCGGCTCTGAGGCACTTGCATGTTATTTCTCCTGCTATTTCTCTAGCAAAAATTCACTCTTCACTCAAAGAAAACTTAAAGTGAAGACCTGATTATTTCAGGAGCCTTATCAAAAGTCCATTGTTTTTTAATGTTGGTGCTACTTCTGCTATATTTTCACACTTAAAACAATAATTTGGTATTCCTCTTGTACCATTGTCCTCTTTAATGTTAAGAAATAAGTCACCTGGCAGTTCTCTCCCGAGTGGTTCCTCTGCTGCCAGCATTAATCTGAATATGATTCAGTGGGCTATATAACACTGCTGAATTTGTTAAGTTTTAGAGGGGGTGTACTCATTTATGCTGTGCACTGTATATGTTCAAAACAGTGTGTCAACTTAAGTTTAACATTATTTTAGTGCTTTACAACTGCCCCATAGACTTCCATTGTAAAGTGTGTACTCTACAGTTTACAAAAATACAGTAATTGTTGTTGTTTTTATAAATTGAGGAATGAGTCAAGAATTGGTTCACTGTCTTCAATTAATGCTGATTTTAAATGAAAATTACATAATATTTTACTTAAGTATACTTAAGTATAACAGCAATGGATAACAGTTGGACAATGTTTCTTTAGAAAAACAAGTGATTTAAACACTTTTTAAATGTTATATTTTGTAATATTGGTGGTTTTATTTTTGTGCTAAAAATGTTTTTTTTTCATCCAATATTTTGAGGAGGCACTGCCTCCCTTGCCTCCTTGAAGGTAATGCCTGTGCATAGGGCTGGGTATCGTTCAAAAATGTTAGATATCGATACCGATACCTTGACTTCAATACCGGTTCCTGAACGTAACTTTTTCGATACCAATTTTATGAAATCTATTTGAACAAGATTACATTATCTAAAAAAATCTTTGGTTTTATTTTTCAGCTTGTTGATGTTTATACAGACTCAAAGCCACTGTACAAAGGAACAAAATGTAACAAACAAAAACACGGGTTAAATTGGGATTTGTTATGTGGGTGGGGCTCTATAGTTTCGAGCTTATATATATATATATATATTATACTTATAAGTGTGTGTGTGTTTTGTTTTTTTGCAAATATGATTTATTCTGAAGCAATATTCTCATCAGTTTTCTATCAGCTGTGACATATAAATCTGTGTGTTTTTTTATCCAAGGGCTTTTTTTTACCTTTATAGAGGGCATTTTCCCACTAATCTCATTAATACTTTCATTTCAAATTCTTACATTTGATCTATAAATTCAATTGACACTGAAAAATACAACTGCATTAAATAATTATTATGAGATTATTTTAAATATTTTTTAATATACAAACAAGAAATTATGGTGGAAATTATACTTTTCAACTAAATTAAAACGCCAGTAGGTGCCAGTAGTGAGCGTTTAATGAGTGAGTCATTGAGTCGTTCATTCAAACGATTCGTTCAAACGGCAGATTCATCAGATGTTTATGTATGGGCCAATGAAACTTTGACTCAACCGATTCATTCAGAACACGGAATCAATCAGCAATGAATAGGCTGGTTGCTTTGGAGATATGCGCTGTTTCTGCTTAAAATGTAAGTGACCTAAAATTATTGTATTTGCTTATTGAACTGTTTATATAACTATTAAACAGTCGTAATGGTGAAAATGTTGCCTAACTAACTGTATTTTAAATATAAAAACTTTCCATTTTGAATTTTTACCTCAGGATGCTGAGTTTCTTAGTGTTGCGCGTTTTGATTTCTCCTGGAGAGGCTACGTGCGCAACCTTATACTGTCAATAGGTGCATTATACTCTAAATGTAATACAATCAGAATAATTTGCGTTTTGGTGTTTACATGGTTACTGATGTTTTAATCATGTTACTTGTCTAGCGTTAATTTGGTACCGAACGACGAGACGTTTTTCGATACTCGATGGTATCGAGGCAATTCGGTCGGTGCCTAAAAAGTATCGAACTCGATACCCAGCCCTACCTCTGCATGAGTGTGTGTAAGCTTAGGCTTCAGTTGAAAATACACTTCTTTCCTTATGCAAGAAAACCTTTTAACAGTAAGGGTCCAGTTCTCAAACAGAACAATGTGCCATTTTATTTGGTAAAGACGAGAGTACATCAACAAGCAAATTATTATTTAATTATTAAATTAAGAAAACTGCAATAACAGTTCCATTGTTTTTCCCTTGATGAATTCTTATTCTTTGACATGTCTTGAACTTTAAATAATCATAAAAAATACATGTAATACTTGTTTCTTTGTTCCTGAGTTGGATACTGCATGATGCATGGTTTCACTTGAAACAAATAAAATGCTCAAACACACACGCACAAGCACAAGAAAAATCAGACACATTGCAGTATATCCTAGTTGGGATGTTTCCACCTCAGCATGGATTGCTGGTTGAATGAATATCTGTCCAAAAGGACGTCATCCGATTTGTGTTGTCCGTAAGTATAGCTATCAATCCAGAATAGTAACAGCGATTGTACCGCGGTGGTGTCGCCACAAACTGTTCTATATTTGGCGGTTTGGTTGGGACGATACCCAAATTCTCCAAACACATGCCAAGATATGCATCCTCTATATATATGGGTTTAATGTGCTTCGATCCCTGTATAAATTTCTGTGGCAGGTCCAAAGAAATTATGTAACACATGCCTAGAGGATACGGCGGATATGTGTTTCTGGGGTACACATTGTAGGGAAGGAAAAACTTATTGAACGGATTTCGAATGACAGGGCTTGCGTACCACACTAGCCCGGTCATATAGTTGGCTGGTACTGGGTTCAGACTCACAAGCATATTTATTAGATTGTTCATGTTAAGGAGCACGTCAGCATCCACTTTCACAGCAAAGGACGCCTGTTGACAATTCCTGCTGAGCCATTCCATCATCATCATGGTTTTAATGGTCAGATTCTTATAGGAATCCAGGAAGTTGCTCTGGAGAAGGTCTTTGTACTGCTGGCTCTCATTCCAGAGTTGCTCCTGCAATGTTTCTTCATCGTTTTCACTGTGTAAGCCCATAATAAACAGCACCACAACCACTTTGTCCCCAACAACCTTTTCTCCACCCCACGTCCTCCTGATGCCACTGCGCGCTTCAGTGTCGCCAGGAGGCACCGGGACCATAACCACCACGAAGGGTTTTTGCTGTTCACATATCTTTGGCTGGTCAATGATAAATTTGTATTTTCGGGGATAAGCCACATGGTACAACCCTGGTTCTTCTTGGACAGTGTCCATTTCTGGTTCTTCTTTTACAGGATCCTTCCTTGGTGCTGCTGTGCTTTGTTGTTTTGCAGGAGGGTACCTTTGTGATTTTTTCTCCTCTTGCCCTTTTGTCATAGGGGAAAGATACAGTAGTAAAGCAATTCCTGGAACCAGGAGAAAAATCAGGAACCACTCTCGCACAGCAAGGACACACACAGCTATCGGGTAAAACAAACAGGCTGCTATTGTAAATTAAACTGAACCTGTAACTACAGATATTTTCATTTCTTTAAAAAGAAATTTACACTACACGTGCTTTTCAGCAGGGTCTTTTGGCTGAGTGAATATCCCTCCAGTAGGAAATGAGATGAGTCTGACTGTCTGTAAGTATTGCTATTCGTCCAGAATAGTAACAGCGATTGAATCGTTGTGGTGGTTTGACCACAAACTGCCCAATATTTGGTGGTTTCTTAGGTGCGATTCCCAAATGCTTCAAGCACATGCCCAGATATGCGTCTTCAATAAAAATAGGTCTGATATGCCTCGAGATGTGCAGGATCTTCTCTGGTAAGTCCATAGAAAAGATATAACACATGCCCAGAGGATACGGAGGATATCTGGATTTAGGATACACATCATGAGGAACATAAAACTTGCTGGACGGATCTCTCAAGACAATGTTTCCAGACAATACTAAGCCAGTGATGTAGTTATGTTGTAGTGATTTCAGACTCACAAGCATATGTAATAGGTTTTTCATATTGAGGAGCACATCAGCGTCCACTTTCGCTCCGTAGGACACCTGTTGACAATTCCTGCTGAGCCATTCCATCATCACCAAGGTTTTAATGGTCAGATTCCTGTAGGAATCCATGAAGTTGCTCTGGAGAAGGTCTTGGTACTCCTCGCTCTCATTCTGGAGTTGCTCCTGCAGTGTTTCGTTACCACTTTGTGAGCCCAAAAGAAAGAGAACCAGCACCAATTTGTCCCGGACAAGCTCCTCGCTGCCCCACGTTGTCCTGATGGCATTACGTGCCTCGATGTTCTGCGGGGCCACAGGGACGATAACCACCATAAAGGGCTTTTGCTGTTCACACTTCTTTGGCTGGTCGAGGATAAATCTGTAATTTTGAGGGTAAGCAATATGGGGGTTCTCTGTTTTTTTCGCCATTTTCTGCCACTTTCTTCTTTCGAGGGTAGTGGCGGTGAAATACAGCAATAAAACATTAAATAGGATGAGGAGACCACCCAGTAGCCAACTCTTACAGAACATCTGAACGAGGCTGAAAAGAAAATAAAGTTTTCATTTAAAAATGTATTTGATCTAGCTTGAACTCCTATTCAAATGTAAATTTTGAAGGGATAGTTGGTACAAAAAAAATAGTCTTTTGTTTTCCACAGATGAAGGAAGGTCATATATGTTTTGAAATACCTGAGGTTGAGTACATGATGACAAAATGTTAATTTTTTGGCAAACTATCCCTTTCGATTCAAAAGAACCCTTTTTTTTTCTAAGTGGGTCTTTGTTACAGAGTTGATCAAATGCAAAAACACAGTGCTTCTCTTTTGAGTACATGATGACAAAATGTTAATTTTTTGGCAAACTATCCCTTTCGATTCAAAAGAACCCTTTTTTTTCTAAGTGGGTCTTTGTTACAGAGTTGATCAAATGCAAAAACACAGTGCTTCTCTCGGGAAACAAGCAAATGATTTTGACCACTGTGCTTAGAGGCTTGAAGGCTCCTCAACAAAATCATATTACATTTCCCTGATGTAAATTCAATACTTTTTCCTTCATAAAAACTCAAAACAAGAGATACGCTAAAAATGGTTCTTGAAAGGTTCTTTACATGTAGTAACAGTCCTATTTAGAACCATATCTTCCTGAAGAACCCTTTTGTGCTGAGATTTTTGTGTCAGAGTTTAGGGTTCTTTCCCACCTTTTTGTGCTTCAAATCTGTAACTGCCAATGCCACCTTCAATATTGATTTTTTTGGTACTCAACCATCCAATTACACAGACTGTCAACACACTCTTGACAGGTACATTTCTTAAATGTCAAACGTTCAAATTTTAACCAATCATGTATTTTTCTCTTTTTAGTTTAACAGAACATGTGTGAGCAGTTCTGATAAGTTAAGGATACTTTGCATAATACATAATTGTTTTTACATAATCAACTGGAAGAGACACATTGTAACTCTACTCAATTGTGTATTTCAGGTGGTGTCACATTCCACAACAACATCATCTGCAGAGAGAAAGTGCCATTCAGTTACACCAAAATATACACATATTGATGGATATTATAGAGGATTGTATAGATATGTCATTGTAACTTGTTCTTCATTACATCTATTTCTACTTTGTGTTTTATTTCATGTATTTAGTCATGTTCTTAGTTGTCATTTAATGTATTCAGCTACTAACGTGTTAAGAGCACTGCCATTGTTGCTAAAATGTCATGTCAATAACAAATAAAGGCACCTTATAGACAGCATGCTGTTGGTTTTAAAACCCTAATAACAATATTAATAATAATATTTAAAAAATAATATGAATAATACTAATATTAACAACACATATGTACTAACATACTAATATTATTAAAATGATTATTTATTTATTACACCATTAAAGAATGGTTCTTTATGGAACCTTATAAAAACGGTTCTACCAAAAAGAGTTATGTTATTGTTACGAGCCAAAGAACCCTAATTTGGTAGTGTTTCGAACCATTTTTCTTAAGAGTGTATAATAAGTCATTGCAAAATACAAAATCAATTCTGTGAAATGTTCGAACATACCTTGTCTTGAGAGTAACAGCGATCTTGTACATATCTCAGAGTCGCTGTAACCGAGCTCCTCCTTGTCATTTCTTTGACCTATTAGATCCTTTAAAAACACCTGGTGAGGCTATGGAGTGTGTCACAGTGAGCTAGCAAAGTTCCAGAATCATTTCGTTACTCAAAAGGATCATGTTGCCACCCATCTTTCAATCATTCTCCTCCATCTGCAAAAGTTTTCAGTTGTGTTTCTGATGCCAACTGGGACTTAAAAAAATACCTATAATCATGAGATAACTTGGTATTTCAGATGGTTCCAAATATAATGTCTAAATGTCTTGAAGATCTTTTATAATAGTTATAATGAAGAGCATTATAATAGTCCGAAAGTGGCCACCTCACCTTACCAACATTATTTGCATGACATGCAAAATACAAGATGAATGTTCCAATGTGACCTTGTCAACACTCCAGTTGGACAGAACTGAAAATGACAACAATCAAAGAATATTTACATTTTTTATTTAAAATCTGTAACTAAATATAAATATTCTAAAAAAAAAAAAAAAACATAATTAAAAATATACATTTATAAATAACCATTTATTTTATGAGCTGTATAAACAAATAGCATTTACATTTTTTTGTCTTTAGTTCTCTGATTGTGTCTGCCATTGTATGTGCAGCATAACAGTCGTTTATTAATCAAATAAAGGCAACCACTAATTCAATTTGATTCATTTTATGTGGGCCTCTTTACATCCTTCCAAATGTCTATTAGCTGCTGTGGAGATCCCAGGATTGTTGTAATAACTCTGAGAAAATCCTCTCGCTTATATTTTCCCAGATAGGCTCTAAACTGTGAAGGGTCTGGGGGAGATGAGGGTGCAATGCCTAACTGTTTCAGACAAGCGCCCACATATGCGTCCTCAATGTTAAAGGGCTTTATGACCTTGGAAGCCTCAACTATTTTTTCTGGCAGGTCATTGGAGAAAACATATCCCATTCCAAGCAGGTACGTGGGGTATTTCGGTTCAGGGTACAGTTCCTCTGCCACGTACCATTTTGAGTTTTTGTTTCTGACGACAGGCCGGTTCCACATCAAATAGCCTGTAATGTAGTTCTGTCTGGGTGTGTTGGGTGCCAATAGCAGGCTCATCAGGTTCTCCAGGCCTGTGTACATGTCAGAATCAACTTTCATAGCATAAGATGCTTGAGGGCAACGAGTGGCCAACCAGTCCATGATCACCATTGTCTTTATGGTCAGGTTGAAGTAGGAGTCTACAAAGTTGCTCTGCACTAAATCTCTGTGTTGTCGGCTCTCTTCCTCCAGCTGCTGTTGAGCTTCAGGTCCTCGAGTCAAACCCACCAAGAACAGAGTCAGCACTGCTTTTCCCTGGACTGAGCTTTCATTCCCCCATGTGCTCCGGATGGCATTACGAGCATCTACCTTTTGAGGGGCCACAGGGACCATCAAGACCAGGAACGGATTCTGACTACATTTATCAGGTTCATCCAGGATGAAATGATAGTTGCTTGGATGAGCCACATGATGATGCACTGAAATGTCTGTGGTTTGTGTAGGAACTTGTGTGGGACTCTGTTGAACTCTGTTGGGTGCTAAAAATATAGTTTGATTTTCACTGGCAGATGGGTACCCAATCACAACATAATAGGAGCGTATCACTTTTTCATACAAGGTGTCGGGGAGCGCAGCAATCTTGAGAGAGAATTCAGAGAGGTAAGCAACGGCAGTCAGTAAGAAGGCAAATGTAAGTAGCAGAATGAATCCTGTCTTAATGTGACACCTGTGTGGAGCTGTGTCCGGACCCAAACTGGATCTAAGAGAGATCAAAAACAAACAATTAAAACAATTGTTTGTTTTAAATAAATCTATTCATTACATGAACCGTCAGAATGAAGATTTTCAATATGAGAGAGAGAGCCCGTTTCAGGTGACCGTTAAGGTGAGCGAATTTGATTGTTCCCACAGCAGAAGGTTAAAATAGTGATGTGAAGTGGTCACGCTCCACCGCTACTTGGGACACATCTACCGTGGCACGACGAATTTTCACGTTCTAAATTCGGCAGTTTTAATAGGAATCCACGCGGAATTTCGTGTGAGGGCGAAATATTTCCTCAAGCAGCTGACCATCAGAAAGTTGCTTGGTTTGAAAGTGACATGTGAGAGCTTTGCTTCATACAAAGCCACTAGAAGGCAAGCCTGCAACCTTTAGCCAAAAAAGCGTAACGGCTAATGCTAACGCTTCCGTTTTGTCAGTACGTGGGAAAGGAGACCTGAGGCCGTTTTTTTAAATGGATGTCAATGGAGGAGAAGATTCACTACACTGAATAAACATCATTTTAGAGAAAACAGCTTATCATTTAATGAATCAACAGCCTATCGGCTAATCTTCAACATGTTTTACATTTAACAATACTTTTGGATTTAACTATTTTTAGAGTTTACACCCTTAACGCACACTAAATCCACACTATCTCGAATACCGCTCTGGAGCAGTATTCAAGGCTTAGTATATCCCATCATGCATCATGTTGTGGAAATAAATCGTGAGACTTTTTGCCGAGATCTCGCGAGAGGTCACGGAAACCTTTCCAATGTTTGTTAAATATTAATAATAGTTAGATATTACATATAATTTGGTAGTAAAACAAAGAGTTGCCCGTTTTATTGGTTACAAAAACAGCATTCTTCCATCTTAGAAACATTGCCAAGCTACTAAACATGTTACCTGTTTCTGACGCAGAAAAGCTAGTTCATGCATTCATGACCTCTAGACTGGACTATTGTAATGCACTGCTAGGTGGTTGTTCTGCATCTTCAATAAACAAGCTACAGGTAGTCCAAAATGCAGCGGCTAGAGTCCTTACCAGGTCAAGAAAATATGATCATATTACCCCAATTTTACAATCTCTGCACTGGCTACCTATTAAGTTCTGTATAAGTTACAAAATATTATTAGTTACCTACAACGCCCTTAATGGGTTAGCTCCTGCATACCTAACTAGTCTTCTACCACACTACAATCCATCACGCTCCCTAAGGTCACAAAACTCGGTTTAGCTCCTGCGTACCTAACTAGTCTTCTACCACGCTACAGTCCATCACGCTCCCTAAGGTCGCAAAATTCTGGACTTTTGGTAGTACCTAGGATATCAAAGTCCACTAAAGGAGGTAGAGCTTTTTCGCATTTGGCTCTCAAACTCTGGAATAGCCTTCCTGATAACATTCGGGGTTCAGACACTCTCTCTCTGTTTAAATCTAGATTAAAGACACATCTCTTTGGCCAAGCATTCAAATAATGCATCTCATAATCTTGTACTGCAGTCATATCTGATCAGATGCACATTATTATTCTTTAGTTTGGGTTAAACAAATACATTTTGCTTGGTTGGAACAGCAGCTACGCTAATTATTTCTCTATTTGTTTCTCTGTTTTTGCCCCAGGATTGACATCCCGTGGTAACTAGGATTTACACAAGCTTCGGTCTGGATCCAGAACACCTGAGAAGAGATGATGCCAACCCCTCAGAGGACCTCAGATGATGCCAACCCTGAAACAACATACAGAACTACCACATTTTGCTATAAGTTTGATTGCATCATTTAATAATTGCTGTTAATAGTGTTCATCGTCTGTTTGATTACGTCTTTAATTGATTTTTCCGTACATTTCTGCCATATGTATATTTACTGACAGTCGCCACTGATAAGCTACTACTAAATATTGTAGAAACTTAATTTGCCTTAAAGTTGCTTTGCAATGATTTGTATTGTGAAAAGCGCTACAAATAAACTTGAATTGTATTTAATTGAACTATAAATCCAAAGACAATGGTTACTATTGTTAAACCATGGTAACAACAAATTAACCATGGTTTTTGCTACACTAACCATAGTTTAACCATGTAATTTGTAGTAAAAATAAATACAAATTGTAATCCATGTGCCAAAAAAAAAAAAACATGGTTACTGTACTTTTTTTTGTAAGGGAAAACATGACTCATGTTCAGTATTAGGATTTTTCTATAAAGATATTGTAGTGATGTTCTAATTTTGACATGTAGGCTATTTAGAAAGTATAGTTTTGTTAAATCTTGTGTATTAAAGTCATGAGAGAGATAGATATCAGGGCAAAATAAAGAGACTGAAAATAAAAATATTAGTGAAGGTGCAGTTCAGGAGAGAACTTTTAATTATTTTTTATGTCCCCAACCTAAGGATTAAAACCTTTTTTATGTGAGGTCCATACAAAAAATAGGGTTGTCCATGTTTCAGAATTTGTTGTGGGTGTATGAGTGTGAGATTTCCCGGCCTGAAATTTTTTTCCCAGTCCGCCCCTCGTGGAAATTAATGGTGCAGACATGCGGTTTCACACATAAACACAAGTGCCTACTGAAGCTTGCAGTGTTTTCAGCCTCTGCCGCCTCAATATATGAGTACATGAACACAATCTCTAGAACTGCTCTGAGTCACTTCATGATTATTTTACTTATTTTGAGAAATCTATCGTCATATCATATACAAAGACACACCAATGTTTCAGGAATTTAAGTACACAGAATAGGACATGCTTATTAGATAACCGTATTCGAGTTGATGTCACTGGGTTATATTTAACCCAGCATTTTTTAGAGTGTGCTTTTATTTATTATTATTTTTTAATTAACTATTTTTTCCAAACCATTGTTAGATGCAGTGTTTCCTGTAGTTATGCAAATTAACTATTTCTTATGATTTTAAATCTGCATTGAACTTCAGAGCAATATCAAAGTAAAAGGCGGTACTAAAGTCTGATTTTGTGGTGGATGTGTTCAAATTTATCATCTTAATTCAAGTGATGAAGGGTTTTGAAAGTGTTGAGCACTACTGTAAGATTAACCCTGCATGGTGTAAATGTTTGAAAATGATTAACAGTTGCAAATAAACATTCATTAGAAATTTAGAAAAAGTAATCAAAAGTACAGTTACAGTTACATTACTTTAATAAAGTAATTGAAAAAGTTACACTACTATTTCATTTTAAGTAGGGTAACTTGTAATCTGTAACCTATTACATTTCCAAAGTAACCTTCTCAACACTGACCATCAGGTGATGAAAAGTTCTACACACACTTGTGGTCTCCATGCTCACTTGAACACGGACCAAATACAGGAAATATGTCATACAAGTAGGCTAGTCAAGTGCAAAGACCGCAAGTGCGGGTATTTGTGATCGTAAGGATCAAAGTCGGACAAATTTTCAAACTAGAATGCATTGCTTTTGAATGAAGTCATGAAGTCGAACAAGCCTTATCTCTGCTTCATACCAGGGACGCGATTTCAACCGTGCCCCCTCAGATTTTTGAGCCAATTGGATTTTGAATGCAGCTTCCAAAAGACAAAAAAAATTGCTGAATAATATTTGTAATTTTTTTTGTATTTGATACAATCACGCCGGTGTGATTAGAACGTTCAGGGCGGCACATCAGCAGCTGCTAAATTCAAATCTGCGTTCACGCTTTGGCTGGCGCTGAGCCAGAGACAGACGCGTTTTTACAGGTGCTGCGCATTATAACCAATCACACGTGATTCTGTTGCGCTTATGAATGCAATGACCAATCAGAGACGTTCAGATGAGTCATCGCTAAAGCACCGGTGTTTATTTCAGTGCGCAGACTAGCAGACTATGCGCTCTGGCGAGTTCTCTCAACATAAACAACAAGTGCAGATGTGCGTACGATGTAAGTAAGATATTAATTTCACAGTGTAAACAGCTTCAGTGATTTTAATGGGAGTTTTGGGGAGTGCTTGAACTCTGGCTAGACTGAAGTAAATAATGATAATAAATGATAATAATAATAATGTAAATATTCTTTGCTATATTTCTGGACAATGAAAGTGATATAACTTACAATGTTTTTATTAAATTCACGTAACGTGCCGGACTGTAGGGTTGTGGGGCCCTAGGCAAGACAACGAAAATAGGCCTCACTAGTGTAAAAATTGTCATAGCAATTTAAACATATGACAAGTCTGTCTGTGATCATGAGCAACATTGCATTTATAAAACAAATACTAATACTAAAGCAATAAATATTATGTATAGCAGTCAGAACATGCTTTCCCCCCCCCCCCATTCCATTTCTACTACAATTGCACTTTCATTTCAATTCCAAAATCTGAACCAACAAAATCTGCACACAAAATCTGAACTGTAACTAGAAAAGTTTTCAGATAAACTTTTTCTTTATTTGCCAGAAATGATCAATAACACTAAGTTTGCTGTGCCTGTTTGTAGATCTGCACAATTTGGCCCCCAAAAAATGGTTGTTTTTATATATCAATATGACTACTGATAATTATAATTATAGTTCTAACTGAAATAAATCATTAAACAAAGTAATAATTATTGATAATGATTATTATTAATATAGTTTACAGAAAACTGCAGCATGACCTGTTAACATGCAGGAGGTTTATAATTGTTTAGAAAGGTCTAAGGATTTATCACTGATTATGATTAAAAATCATTAACTGTATAATTATACAATTATATTATAATTATAATTTTTGTCAGGAAATATTATGCATCCATTGAGAGAGAGAGAGAGAGAGAGAGAGAAACTCCTCTACACTGGAGAAAAACATATTTTTCCTATTTTTACCCAAAATGAGGTGTAGTGAGTAGCTGTAGCTGTTTCATTCATACTGGTAGCCGGAGGGTGGCCTCATGCAGTAAAACCATAAGTCATAAGAAAAAATCATAAAATGAAATACTCACAAAAATCACGTTGGAGGAAATCCCTAATATGGACAAAGGCATATGCTATCGCTGCAGTAGCTGAATAAAACGCAGATAGGACGTTTTAACTGATGAAGAATGAAGACAATAAACATACGATTGTGACTAAATTGTGTATTTCTGTTCTTCAAGCCATCACAGGTATTTTTTATATGCATAATGTACAGTATATTTATAATGCAATGCTAATCAACATAGCCTTTATCACTGTATAGAATATTATAAAGTGATTTTGCCTCATTCTGTGATATGAAACCACGTCAGATCAGAAAAGGAAGTTATTTCAAACACTCGACTGATGTTATAAAATGAATTTAGAGCAAAAACATCATTAAATGTTTTTAAACGCACTGTACAGCCCTGGTGCGTCATCTGTATGTGTGTTGCCTTAAAGGGGCGCTGCAGATCGATAAGTGTTTGGCATCAAAGTATTGCAATAGGATAGGAAAGCATGCAGAGCTGTCCATTAGTATATAGCTCTCGCAGTACTTCGATGTGAAACACCGATCTGTCTGCACCGTGCCGCTTCAAGTCAAACACACCTTGAAATTTAATTGACAACCTCACGGCCGCGGGGCCCTCGCCTTAAGGCAGGGCCCTAGGCGGCCCCCTGTACCGCCTGTTGGAGCACTGTTCACGTTAAATAAAAATTCAGTCGTATTAAGAATATTTTATGGCATGACACCCATATCTGGTATTTAAAGGTGACATATTATGCCCATTTTTACAATATGTAATATAAGTCTTTGGTGTCCCCAGAATATGTCTGTGAAGTTTCAGCTCAAAATACCCCACAGATCATTTATTATATCATTTTGAAAATGCCTATTTTGAGTGGAAGCAGAAACACGCTGTTTTTCGTGCCTGTCTCTTTAAATGCAAATGAGCTGCAGCTCCCCACCCCCTTTTCCAGAATAGAGCTGCGGCGTAGACTTGTTCGGTGTCGCGTCATAGCGGTGTGGGTGGAGTCGGCGTGGGGGAAAACAGTCCTTTGGTGTTTGGTGAAAACCATGGTGTTGACTCAGAATGGCCTACATAAAATCATTTTTAGATCAAGAGCAACATACGCATAAAAACTGAGCCGTATTGGGTCGGACTGTCCGTACGGTATCTGTGACTGGACAAACGACCCAACGGAATGGCCAGAGATGTCGTTTCCCGTCATTTTTTCTTACCTAATTGAGCAAGAGACAGCTTAGGCTACTACAAGCCTATACGAGAAGGCTTGTGAAAGTAAACATTTGTCATTTTGTTTTGCTTAATTTTAATAAAGTGATGAAGACTTGATTAAAAGCCTGCCGTACTTTCTTAGTGATATATTAAAAAGATTTTTAACATTGACAAAACAGGTAACATTAAGGTCCACTGAAGCGCCTTGAAATGCGCAGCGTTATTCTATGTGGTGTGTGCTGCGGCTGCCTAATCATTTTCACAAATACATGCCATAAAAATAAAAAGATAACATAAAAATATGTATATAAAATACCAAAAAACATGTTTATTGGTTACTATAGCGAAACCATGGTAAAAAACAACATGTTTTGTTACACTAACCATAGTTTAACCATGGTATTTGTAGTAAAACTGTGGTTATAGGCTACAATTGGTAATAAAAACACCAAAAAAACTTGGCTAGCCTCCTATACTTTTACTATAGTAATACCATTGCTAATTAAGGGATTTTGTATAATAATATGAAATAAATGTTTTAATAGATTATGACATCACAAAATATCAGGGAGTGAGATTTAATTGATTGTGATGCGAAGGAGGGTTAAGTTACTGTAAGCCCCATCAGAAATGGGTTGCGGTGCAGGGGGACGGTACGGGACGAATGACAGATCATTGCAGGGTAAATAGTGTATCCTGTCTGTGCTACCGGCTCAGTGCTACCTCCGGTAGTCCGTCTGTTTATTAGTCATATACATCTTCAGATCAGGTTTTTTAACTTATTAGAGGTACAGAACGCCACACAGCAACTTTTCGGCATTGCACCAAGCAAAAATCAATCGAAATCATCACAAAAAGTAAAGATCAAGCGCCTAACAAGGTCTCCGCGCGTTAATTCGAATGGCTTGTTTTCCCCCACGGCATAAATGATTATGACGTATTTGTGTGCCGAACAAGTCTATTACAACTCGTACCTGCTAAAAAAACATCTGTTTTGGTTCTGATTATCATGTTTACTGCGCTGAAAGCATGCGTTTTAAACAGTAGTAGTTTAAACTTCTGATATATGGTTTTCTGAGCGCACACGGACAGAAAGATAGATCTGTGTGGTAGCAGCAATATACAGTAAATAAATCAATAAATCCACCGCTCTGTTGTCTCCTCTGAGGCTGGGACTGTAAATAGAGTTCTGGGCTCGTCTGTGCAGACAAAGAAACCTGGAAAAGTCACATTTTCATGATATGCCACCTTTAAGTAAAAAGACGGGTTTCATGTGTAGGCCCTAGTTAATAGATTACATTATTATGCTACTTTGCCCATTGCCCATTAGCTTATAGATCAACTAACATAATCTATAAAGGTGCAAAATGCATTTACACACATATTTGAGAATCAAGATATTTCATGATATAGTTAACACATTTGGTAATATTTCGAATAAAAAAGGAACACAGTTTCAAAGGAGGGGGGCCTTTGATCGATCCTTGCCCAGGGCACCGCTGCGTCATAATCTGGCCCTGCTTTATACATTATGCAGCTATTAGGTGATAGAAATTTCACCTAAATTTTGATAATGTGCAAGTTCCTGTAGTGAAAAAGCTTTGAAAATAGCTGAATTTACTGTTACTCTCTCATTAGCTTTAGTTAAGTTACGTTTGTTAGTGACTTCACAATTCTGTACCCGTTCCTTCTTAAGTTTAGGCTATGTGATTTAACTAAATCAAACGTACACGTTTACACACTTTTGTCCAAAGTGACTTGTATTTAAGGAAGGCTACAGGCTTTGTTTTTTGTTTTTTTAGCACCATCTACAGGAGCTACAAGAATTTTAATTAACTGAAATACAGTTTTAATGTAGTATTTTGCTTCATACCAAGATTCAGATATATCTAAATTAATTTTCTAAATTTAAATTATAATAGTTTTACAGAACAAAGAGGATTACATTTATGTTTCTGTACAGTAAAGTTGTCCCTGAATGAGTGTAGTTATGAGTTATGATCAGTTCAGCATACTTTTTCATATCCAGGCAGTTGCAGTTTACCACACCATTGCATTATTAAAACATCAGATGACCATAAAATATCTGCATATCCATTTTTAGCATAGTTTCATGCCTTAAATCATAAAAGACCTCACCTCTTCCATCCATTTGTGTTGGAGAGTTTCACCTCCATGTCTTGGTATGTGTGCATCTGGATTCAGGGCAATCAATAGCCCTTTTAGCTGAAAACCCGAGAGGTAAAGCTGCTGTAGAATTATAGGTGGCTCCGCCCCTCCCACCTCATACAGGTGTTCACTGAAGATGAGGGGGAGGGGGGCTAGTTTTTATGGTTGTATTCAAAGAGACCACAGTTATACCATACATATTTAATTCAAAAAAAAATTTGTGAGTTGTAATACAAATAATGCATAATAGGCATCATCTGATTGATGTGTACACACCTCACATTATACTAACCAAACAATTTGAAAATAAATTTGAAAGCCTGTAAATCTCCTTTAGAGAAACACACTGTACACACTTTAGTCATTGCACTCTTTATTGGACTTATGCATCATCTATTTCATCAATTTCATTCCGGTCACATTGACAGACGTCCTGTGGTATAAGACACATTACCATTAGCTCAACTTTATGAGGCATTAGCCTCAACGTCATGAAAACGTATAAAAACATTTATGATAGAAGTCTGTTGAACTAAATCTGGTAAAATATACATACACGAACTGACAATATACATCCAAATGGATTTCATACATCATATTTCGTCAATAACAACCTTACAATCTAAGGCACTTGGTATTGGTAAAAATTCAATAAAATATCCTGTGCAAATATAGTTCATTACAATACACAAGCCGACCGTGACAGGCCATAGTCTTAGTATTTATCCATTATGCATGGCAGATATCAAATCAGAGCTACAACATTAGATATGCAGTTCCCGGTGTAAACCGGGCTCCGGTTTTACACTTAAATGAGAAAGGTCAGCCATGCATAAAGGTTTACCAATCCGTTAGCCATAGAACTAAATAATGGATAACAAATAGTGGAGTCCAGGTGGACTCATGTCATCATATGACACAGTTTTGACACAGTCAATGTCTTGTCGTCGAAACGTACAAAACATAAAGCGGCACCATTAAATGGCTAATAATGAAAACACAAGCTGATGATTACTTATAGCAATCAGGGTGCACATCTTTGCTGAATTCGCTAAGTTATTATTAAAATGTAACTTTGTATGTAACTATATGTCCCAAATTGGTATACTTCTTGGTTGTGAGAAACATATAGGTATCAAAATTTGCGAATAAGACACACATCTGCTTCAACAACTAGTTCATTTTATAGACACTACAATACTGACCATATTGGTTATAAGAGATTTTTATATTTTAATGAATAAAATCAATACCTTTTTAAAAGATTTTTAATTATTCATGCTCATTTTAACATATTTTTTTAGATTTATCTTTGCTTTCTAATGCTCATTTAACATTAATTTAACATTAACAACAAAAACTGAATGGCACAGTAATCTCAAGATGAATATCCTTCTTCATACTTACATTACAATGCTGTAATGCCTGAATTCACATGTAGCATTTAAAACTACTGATTTTGGTGTTTTAGGTATTTTTTTTATTATTATAATAATAAATAATAATAATAATTCATTACATTTATATAGCGCTTTTCTAGGCACTCAAAGCACTTTACATTGTGGGGGAGGGGGGGGGGGTCTCCTCATCCACCACCAGGAAATGAACATATCCGGCCAATTCATTGTCAAATGTCATATGTATGCTTTTCATATCACATCCTGTTCTCTGTTTGGTCACTGTCAATAGTCTCCAGGAGACTACTATGTAAATCAAGGGCATTCTATTAATTATGAAGTACCACCTTCTCTGAATTTCTTGTCAGACATCACATTCACATTACATACATTCTGACGTCTTTCATGACATACTGATTAATATTGTGCACAGATGGTGCATGAATATTGGTCGCTGTATCAAGAAGTACTGACAAAAAGTCAATATTTGAATTAACTTTGTTTTGCCTATTTAAACATTCTGTATTTGTACTCTCCCAGATGATTCCCTTAAAAGCCAACACTTCCTTCCTTGTAAATTGCAAGTACTATAGTGAGTGGCTCGTGCACACCATGAACAATGACTATAAAGATAACTATATCGATAACTATAATAGCATAAACTCTTTAAAGTTGGGTGGATTCTGACTGGCTGTCAATTTTTTATCAGCTGGAAAAATTGATAATTCTGAAAGTGATTCCAACAATATCATTTGATTCATTTAAAACATTATAGTTATTGTTATTGGTGTAAATGGCCCATAAGGCCTTGTTTAGAATCAAAAGAAGCATTTTTTTGGCATACCTGACTCATACCAGTTTTGCTTTTGTAGTGTGAACGGAGAACAGACAAACTGGATTCACACCAAATTCGTGAACAGTTCAAAATCCAATTAAAATCTAAACTCAACAATAATTTTTCCAAGTAGTTTTTTGGGATATAACATAACCAATCTGATTTCAGCACTCGCAAAATGACACCGTAATCTGCTTTGAAGTCCAAATCAGATTGGTGTGCAGTGTGAACAAGGCCCATGAGTCTCTTTACGTGGTTGCCATCTGTTTCAAGAACAGCATGCCCGGAGGGATCATTACCCATGAGTGAGAGCCTCGTCCTGCTCCCATCCTGCCTTCATTTTCATCATCAACATCATCTTCTTCTTCAACCGCTCTTTCAGTTTGACCCACACCGAGACCGAATGGCGGCAACAACAAGGGGTGCAGGATAGGCACCTTTCCAAGCCCAAGAGCACCAGAGCTGGGGTACAGCACCGGCCCAGCTCCTAAAAGCAGACTGAGCATGGACAGATCCAGGGGGTGACCGCTAAGGGGCCCAGCAAAGGCGTGATTCCCAAATAAGGTTGTTGCCGTACCCGGTAGGACGAAACGAGCCGCTCCGGGGTAAGGTCGATCCATCTGTCGGCCATCCATCGATGAGGCACCGTCCAGCCTGTTGGTTCTGGGCAAGGCAGCACGTTCCTGCACTATGGCGTGGCCGTGTGCCTTGATGTGTTTGCGGAGAGAGCTGGGGTCAGTGTAGCGCTTCAGACAGCCCACCATTTTGCAGCAGTAAGGTTTGTCGACGTAGTGCGTGCGCGTGTGTTTGAAGCGGTCGCTGGAGTTTGAGTAGCGCTTGTTGCAGCCTTCGTAAGGACAGATGTATGGCTTCTCTCCTGAGAGGGCAGAAGAGCAAGAGATAATCAAAGGCTGTACTGGAGAAATGCAGGGGTCGAGAAGGTCAGACTGTCACAACCAGACGGCACAAGCCTGTTTTTTTTTTACTCTGTGCACACTAGGGATGTAAAATGTTTCAGTCAAAAGTGACCAAAGAGGCCCAGATAAGTATTTAAAGCTTGAGCATTTAAAGTGGCTGTAGCACTTGCTTATAATAAACAGAACATTATTGTCCGTTGGTGTGGATGCTAATATAGTAATCATTATACTTATCATTCTTGGTGTGAACAGGCCTTAATTCTTCAGACTCAATTTGGTACAAAGAGCACTGTAGATTATAGATTTATAAATCTAAAAATATATTTAATTCTAAAATATATACAAAAATATTCAAAATATGTAATAATAATTTAAATATCTGAATGTTTACTTGAGTATTTGATGCTTCTGTTAGATGCCTGAAAAACATCAAGTACCATTTACTTTATTTGTATCTTTCTTTGTTCTAGTGCAATTTGTTCATTTGTCTGTATTTATTATAGTTATTTTACAATTGAATGTTAAAACTAATTACTTGTTACTTAACCTTCATTATACTTGACTTGATTTGAAGCTTGACTTCTTATTTGAAGCCCTATTTACTTGAATCAAAAAAATCTGAAGGCTAAGACATTGCTTTATTTTTGAATATTTGCATTAGTATGTAAATCTTTAAATAAAGGAGGTCTTGAGCAGCATATTAAAGTTGTCAAATTATACTGGTATTGGCATCTACCTCTGAAATTTCAGTATTGTGAAAACCCTATTGTGCACTTATTTAAATGTAAGCTAATGGGTTTTTATGTGTGTACCATATCTGTGTTTGCATTTTTGGTGCATTTTTTACATACTGGTCCATATTGCAAATGTGTGTGTCTCACCTGTGTGTGAGCGGGTGTGTATCTTCAGGTTCTCTAGGCGTGAGAAACTCTTGTGGCAGATAGGGCAGTGATGAGGTTTCTCGTTGGTATGTGTGCGGATATGAATCAGCATCTTGTACCTGCGTTATACAAATGGATATATACATATAACATATAATGTCACCATCCAAAAGCAAACATCCAATTCTCAATATCTTGGAGTGGGTGGAACTGTAACATTTACTCTCCTATATATATATATATCTATATAGCTTTTGTTTTTCTTCTTTTTTCAGCAAAAATATCTAAACAAATACTTAAAATTATATCAATTCAGAAACAAACTTGTATAAGACATTTGCACTTGTTTTTTAAAGAATATATCTTGAATCAATTTTCTTACCCTACTTTAAAAAAATGATTCTCCTTGTTCTAAGAATAAAACTCACTTTATTTAGTTACTTAAATCGATTGAATGTGAATGTATGTTGAATGTATGTTTTCTGACCTGGCATTAAATCCTCTTCCCTTGCGCGCGCAGCCCTCCCAGTGGCAGCAGTATCCTGAAATCTTCTCTGGTTTCACATGTGAGTCGTTCACATGGTCCACCAGATCCTGCAGGCTCTCGAACAGCAGATGGCACTACATAGTAAAGACAGAGAGCGTAGCATGAGCAGGGACAGGAGGAAGATAAGGTGAACCGAATGATAGAATGTGTGAATAGCTCTTTTAATATCTAATATCATAGACTTTAATGGATTGTTCACCTAAAAATGAAAATTCTGTCATCATTACTCACCCTCAAGTTGTTCCAAACTTGTATGATTTTTTTTGTTCTGCTGAACACAGAAAAAGCTATTTTGAGGAATATGGGTAATCAGTTGGTAAGTAATTGGGTAAACAATTGATGGTAGCCAATGACTTCTATATTATTTTTTCATACTATGGAAGTCAATGGCTACCGTCAGCTCTTTGGTTATCCACATTCTTCAAAATATCTTCTTCTGTGTTCAGCAGAAGAAAGATATGGATACAAG